AGAAGAGCAGCAGCAGGAGGAGGAAGGGATGTACCCAGATCCAGGCCTCCTAGGCTACATCGAGGAGCTTTGTTCTCAGGAGGTCTTTGTCTCCAAGGTGGGTCGGACCTGGGTATATGGTTTCTAACAGATCCTGGGGTGGAAACACCAGGGCACCAAAGACCTAGGGTTTTGCCCGAGGCAGTTAGGAGCTAGGCTGTCTTCCTAGTGTCTTCCTAGGTTGTGAACGTGCATAGCTGGTGGTGGTCGCGGTTAATAACAATCCCAGGGGAGGAGGGGTGGAGACATGGCTTCTTCTCCAGAGCTTCTTGGTTCACAGGTTACTTTCTGTCAAGGACTCAGATCATTTTTCCTTCTGTTCTCCAGGTGGAGGCCGTCATTCATCCTCAATTTCTGGCACATCTGCTGTCCCCAGAGCAGCAGAGGGATCCATTGGCCTTAATTGAGGAATTAGAGCAAGAAGAGTGGCTCAGTCTTGCCCAGGTAAACCTGGGAGGTAGGGAATAACAGAATAAAAAGCTTGTATAATTTTATCGAACTCTACACGGTCTTGGATGGTATGGCTTCTGGAGACAGCTTCAGGATTGAGGTTTGGGTGCAGAACAAGTAGGCAAGGGATTGTGGAAACACAGGAGAAGGGGAGCGAGCATAAGGGGTCAAAGCATGGAAGGAAGGCCCGAGAAGGGAGAAAAGAGCGACGGTATCTGTTTTTGATACTGTGACTTATGCCACCTGTTTCCATTCCCTGCCCTAAGTACCATCTCTTCACCACCCCCTCAGCTACTCCTTCTCACAACCATTTACAGAACAATGTTTGTCCATTCTGCTTCCAGCTGGTCCAGAAGCGACTCCTGGCCTTGGAAGAGGAGGCTGCAGAGGCATCTCCGAGTTGTAGCGGAGCTCAATCGGACTCCAGTCCTTCCGTTTCTGATGAGGATGAAGATGGAGGTGGGCGGCTTCGGCCCTCAGCTGGGCCTCGGGTGGTGGGGGACAGCACCGTTCGCCTTGGAAAGACTGTTTTCCCAGGAAAACGGGCTCCGGATGGCCGGAGGGGGACGCGCAGAGATGGGACTGCTCTGCCATCTCCCAGCAGCTGGGACCTGCAGCCAGAACTTACAGCTGCGCAGGGATTTCGAGGGTCCCTAAATATGGAGAGAAGAGGGTCTGGGAAGGTGACAGATCAAATATGCCCACATCAGGATGACCACCTGGGAGGTGCTAGGTCTCCTGGGCACTCCCTGGTGGCGGACAGCACTTCAGAGACTCCGCCCCTTTGTTGGCAGGAAGGCCCCCTGCTGGAGATGGTTCCCAGTTTGGATGTCGGATTTGCAGGGCTGGCCCTTCTGCAAGGACAGGGGTTAGAAGAGCAGGTTGTGGGGTTGCAGACGGGACAGCAGCTAGGGGGGCTCGGAGCGCTTCCTCAAGGGGAGGAGCTGTTAGCAGAGTCCCAGGAGATGACAGAGTGGGGAGACGACAAAGGTCCTCCTGTAGTTCAGAGTTATGATCAGAGCCCTTCCCCTAAAGAAGCTGGGGACGGGGATGGGGACAGAGCCTCTCTCAGTCCAGGACTTTGGCTGAGCAGTGAGCTGGATGCTGTGGGCTTGGAGCTGCCCTTAGAGATTGAGGAGGTTATAGAGAACTTCCATGTGAACTTCACTTCCAGGGAATGTGTCACTGAGCATCAGGGTGACTGCCAGGCACTGGGCTCCAGAGGCAACATTTCTCTGGGTCCTGGAGAAACCACAGCACCTGGGGAAGGGGGGAGCACTGCAGTTCCCCATGGAGGCACAGACGGCACAGCAGCTGTGCACAAGAGAAACTACAGCAGCCTGCCCAGACCTCTGAGGGCCAACAGCCCGTCCTTGGGGTCTAAAGGAAATAGAGAACAGAGCCCTGAGGCTACAGGGGATCCCAGTGAGTTGTGGGCTAAAGGCTGCCCCCCAATGCTGGAGAGTAGTATCAGCACCCCCACACTGGGGGCTCCCAAAGAAACCCTTCAGCCTGCATGTCAAGGCAATATCTTTATGCTGGGGACCCAGGGGATCTCCTCCTTCCCCGAGGTCAGCCTAGAGGGGGGGAGCAGTGGCAATTCCCTCTCTCCTCTGTTGGAAACCATAGAACAGGTCGACATACTAGATATTGGAGATGCCTGTGGCCTCCATCTAGGGGTGAGTCAGGATACCTGCCTGCCAAATGTTAATTCTTATGACCCCCAAGGAGAGCACAGGGAAGATACTGATGTATCCAAGCCCCAAGACCTTGCTCCCTTACCAGGGAATCAAGACTCTTATGCACATGGGACCCCCAAATCAATGTCTCCTCACCAGGGCATTGAAAGCATGTTCTCTAGATGGGGAGCCAGGGATGCCTTAGTTCTGAGAGATGCTTCTCCTGTCAGTGAAACGTGCAGCTCAACAGATGGGGCCAAAGGAAAGGAGGAGGAAGAGCAGAAGGAGGAGGGGGAAGATGAGGAACTTGCCAGCTTTGCCTACCTCTTGGCTTCTAAACTTAGCCTGTCTCCCAGGGGGCCTCCCTTCAGTCCTCACTCTGCCTCAGGCCCACTGCCCTCCAGGGGAGGACAGAGGGTCCAGAGAGCATCCAGCTCCCTCTCCGCTGAGGTGAGGGGCCTTGGCCAGCCTCCATATCCTGTGACCAAGTCTGGGAAGAGAACACTCAGTGGAAGTTCAGCTCCTGCTGACAAGAGGCCCTACAAGACACCTACTGATCTTGGTGTCTCTGGGGAGAAACCCCTGGCTCTGGAGGTGGTTCGGGCCTCACAGCCCCGTAAAAGGCGGCGTGATACTTTTGTTACTGGCAGAAGGAAGAAACGACGGCGCAGCCACTAGGGGACAGCAGGACCAAACGATCCCACCTGCCGATCCCTTGAAGGTGGGGGCCCCAGAGTAGATTTCACCCTGGCTGCGTACCAACAGACTGGTTCTCAACCCCATGTTATTTCGTTGTTCTGCAAAAGTAGTGAGTGTGGGAAGGGAGGCCACACTGGCTAGGTTGAAGGTGGTCCCCTTGGTGGGAGGTGAAGTACCTTTGAAAGGAGTTGTATGGGGAAAAAGAATAAAGATTTTCCGGTTGTTGGAAAATGCTTGCAGTGTGTCTTTGTGTATTTGCGTGTTCCCTGCTAGATGGGGTGTGGTGCTGAAAAGAAGAAAGGAGGTGGAGGTGGCTCCAGATTCACCGGATCTAGATACCACTCCCGCCTCCAGCCTTATCTAGGCTCCCTGACAAGCTCCAGGAGTGAGAAGTCCCAGTGATCACTTTATCCCCCCACTCATGAAAAGCCTAGACTTGAAGCTGGCAGTTCTTCCCAGGACAGGCCATCATCATCCATCTCCCTTTAAAAATCTGTAAGATGGGAAGATTTTTTTTTTTTTTTTTTTTAAACCTGTCAGGTCTCTGGGTTAGATATCTAATTTTCTGAATCGAATTAATTTTCCACACCATCTTTTTAAGGCGCGTGGGGGTTGCTTATTGTTCCCCCACCTCAAAAAGGGGCTGGAAGGAAGAGACTTTACTGTTTATCCTCTGGCATAAAACACCCTCCTAAGGCTAGTCTCAGCTGCAGGGAGGAGGCTTGGCTGCTACTGACACAGCTCTCTGCTCCCACCATGGGAGGGGGCATCATTCTCAGTAGGATTACTAAATGTAAAATGGTAGTCAGCTATTTTTTAATTTCTAATGAGGACAGAACAAGAGGGAATAGGCTGAAAAGAGGTTCATGAGGAAGCCTGTTAAAATGTGCATATGTAAGGTTTGACAGCAGGAGAGGAGGATGTGAGATTTGCAGGATTTCTGTGCAGGAAAAAGCTCCGTCCAGTCCAACTGCAAGTGAGGATTCATTCAGCAGTGGCCAAGAG